ACGAAAGGTCTCTACTTGGATCCCCTGACTACAACCAGGACCTCGATAATCGGAGCACTACATTACACAGAACTTAAAGGTTTGTGGTTGCTAGCTGGTCAATAAATAAACTGTTGTGGTGGGGACAGAAGGTTCATCATCATTTAACAAAAACTCGCCGTCGGATGCATTTCAGAGCTCGCTAAATCAAGTCAGCAAATCCACACATGGTGTTCTCTAATATCCGTTTTAGCATTACCCGCCTGTAAAAGCCTAGGTCTCTCAAATGGTATATTCCGCTGTGAATGTCGTACTAGTACCAACATTTTGTAAGATATTTCTAATTTCCTCCACGTGTCTTATATGTCCCGACTATCTAGTGATTGTTGATAATTTGATGACTACAAAGAATCGCATTCGACATTATTTAGATTTCTCAAGGTCTCTGTTTACATCTTTGTATTAAACATTTGAACTACTGTTATTTATTAGTGTCATATATGATCTTTCGACGATAATTTAAAGAAAATGAAATCATAGTTGATTTTTAAAAAGCGTATTTGATCAACATTTTTCAAGAAACGCCTGTTTTAAACCAAAAACGTTATTTTACGCTGAAGAAGGATATTTGTAGTATGCTTACTTACACCTTTAAACAGAAAATTTTTCACGTTTTATTTTCTATTTTAGTTAATTCTATCTTTAAGGAAACGTTAATTGTAAATATATATATTAACATGCCAATTCTAAGGGTAACACATTGAAGGTCTCTGGTATTGCATCAATGAGACCATGTTGAAACATCGAAAGTGGAACTTTATAATCTGTCGTCGGATTATTTGTTCGAAATTTATTAATTAAAGACTCGTACAGCACATATTAAGCTTCAGGGTAGCTTATGGTTTCAGGAACCAGCCTGTAAACTGACATATTCAAAATAAAAAATCGAACCAACCTCTGTCTGCTTGTGCTCCTGGGTCTCTGTGTCTTCCGTCGTGTTTGTGGTGACGATGGGCCCCGAATCTCCGACAACCTTCCCATCTTCCAACACCACTTGTCGCTTGACCCTCGTCTCTATCTGCCGCGTCGTAGTCAATTCTGTCTTCTTCTTTGTAACCCATTCTTCTACAACGACAGAAAAGAAGCAGCTTAACTTCTTTAGCTTAAGAACATACTCCATTAAATGTAGAAACAAGTCTTTAAGTTCAATGTCCTTAAATTCCTATACAAATAAACGCTTAAATTCAACATCCTTGGGTTAAAATGTTCTTCTGTCACTACAGAAACAAGTCTGTAACATAAAAGTCTTTAACTTGGAAAATTCTCGTCTGTCGCCATAAATGCGTGCTTGGAACCTTAACACAGATACATTTAAAATACTGTTTTATATAAACATAAATAAACCTGCAAATTAAATATAATAACTCAGAAACTATCTACTACATTACGGAATCAAGTCCCCAGGTTAAAAATGTTTAAATTATAAAGAGTTTTATGTAAAAATAAAAATAAGCCTCTAAAATCAACATGTTTAAATTCAAAACGTTACTTGTAACAACATGTAGGTCTGTAAACAAACAAATTTATGACAAACTCGCATTCTGTAACCGCAGAAACAGTTCTATGGAAACGTGCCTACTGAACTTCTAAATTTTATTTTTATTTCTTTAAAAAGAAGCTAAATTTTTTACTTAAAATCTTTCTTCTGCAAACACACACACACACAAAACATCTTTAACATAAACACCTTTATGTAAGTAAATAAACAAGTATGTAATTCAAATATTTCAACTTAAAAAATTAATTCTGTAGAATAAGTGTCTTCTTGAGAAACATTCTTTTGTAATTATACATACACCTCTTTTCAGCTTAAAGCATTAGTTCTACTCTGAAATTATAGAAACGAAATGTGTTCATTAAAAACAATTACGTGACTGCAGAAAAATATATTCAAGAGTCTATAATTCCAGAAGCAAGAAGTAACTCAAATACATGTGACATGTGATCTCGTGGTTTGTCTTTCTGTGCTATATATCTCGTGAATTAAAGGCAGAATGCTTTAAGAAAATAAGAAACACTGGCATGGACTGTACTTTCAGTAGTTTTACATACAGCATACAATTTAGGAAGCCATCTCCTTGTTTCTACTCATTCTCTTGCATTATTCATAAAGCTCTTTCTTACTAGGCTCTGTTCAAGCAACAACATGTTGAATATTTGCACCGTTACGTTATGTCCATATTGGATTTCCATGACGCTATTACAGAGACATATTGTTAAGATTACCTTGACGTTAAGTACAACGCGTTATATGAAGAGGTCTCAATTGCTACTTCTGTGTTATAGAACTTTTTAAAGTTACAAACCCTACAGGTCTTTGTAACGGCGACGTTCTAAATGTGTATTAGAGAGGTGTTAGGTTCGAATATGCGCGTGATTACTGGCGTGCATAATGTATTATCCCAGTACTTGCCTCGAACGACTACGGAAGACCACGGACAATCACAGACAGGTTAGACGGTCTCCGGACCGATTTCTCAGGAATATAATTTTATATTTGTATTAAAAACAATTATTATATTTATGCTATGACATGTTCTATATCCCTGGCTTAGACCTATAAAGAATCTATGGAATGAAAATAAATTATATTCTATTCCTTCCCATATCCAACCTAAAACAATTTTCCTTGTTTGGTAGTAAAGTGGGACGAATGTGGGAAGGTACAGAAAAAGGATAAAGACCAGAAAGGGAGGATAATGAAGACCGGAGAAAGATAAGACAAAAATACGAAGAACGCGGACGAGAAATAGGAAAGACGGAGAAGAAGGTAGAAGAGTATTAGGTGATAAATGAGGAAGCGGGAGAAAATACGATGGACAGGTTGACGAGAAAAGGAAAAGTAACACGAAGCAGAACGGAAGGATGACGTGGTAGACAAAGAGAAGTGTTAGAGAACGAATAAGATGATTAAGTGCTGCAGAACACCAGGTTGCTGTCAAATTAGTTTGCAGACGACCTCTAAATTAGATTCTGTGCGTCCCACGCACTTGCGTCGCCCCGAGGAACGGCCAAATTTAATTAAAGGACCAAGAGAACATCGGGCGGCCACTGGACCATGGAGCGCTCTGCGTGATGGCCGCGGTCCACTGGAAATGTCTGTTGTAGGCCAAACGCTTCTCTTTATAAACGACTCTTTTGTGATCTGGAACTAACTTGTTAAGGGGACGATGTTGTTTTCTCTTCAAGTTTACTTTATTTTGTTGAGCGATCATATAAGCAAAATCAGAGATTCGATGTTTTGAAACAAGAACGCCATGTTCTGTGCCAACCACCTAGTGCATTGTCGTAGCTGAGCAATCTCTAGGGAAAAATACGTTTTGCAGAATCTTCCCCATCAGGACCGTATCTTCAGCAAGTTAAATCTAGTTAAGGCCTACGTCTTCACAACTTATTTCTTCAACAGTTACTTCAAAGTTATCAGCTTACAACATGCACCAAGGCCTCCCTTTGCATTTTTCCCCACAAATTTTCCAAACAAATTGCTGTGCAAATTTCTTGTTTTCGTTCATGTGTTCTACATGCAACGTGTATCGTATCCCCCTTCGTAAAAACAAATTTTAAGATGGCTGTCTTCTGGGATGATGCTCCGTGTAGTAAGGTAAAAATTTATCGACATTTCAGAGGTACTTGCTGCCTCCATCTTCAGGGCGATAGCCCATCTTTACTAAAGTAACAAAGAATGGGAAAATGCAATCCACATCGAAACACACCGAATTTCCACATACGGTCTTTACGCTTAGACATTATGAATGATTTTGGCTATATGTGCGTGTGTGACAAGATAGCGATAGGATTCAGCGAAAATTTAAAGTCTTGCAGTAATCGTTCTGACAGCAACCTTCCTCTGGCTCTGTTAGCAGTTAATTACTATGTGTTCAGTGGACTGTGTACGTAGGCCTAAGTGTAAATGGCGAATCCAACAAAATAGAATTCCAAGTGTCAGCTATATCCGGCTGCAATCATTACGCTTACGCAATACCTTGAACAATTCAATGTAGGTCACGAGTTGGCATTCTATCTCTTGCGTAGATGGTCGGCCATTCGATCGAAGATCCCGCTCGCATGGTTTGCAACAGTAAATACTTGTTCGTTTTTGTTGTTATTATTATTGTTGTTGTTGTTGATGATGATGTTTTTGCTCTAATATTTGCGTAGTAAATTATTATCTACATATTTTGTGTTAAATTTATTGGATATAACCTCAAAGTTTAGCACCGACGCCATTATTCTAATTGTAAACTTAGCCTACAAACAATATTTCATGCATAATCTTATCTTCATACCAGATTTTACATACCTAGGCCTAACGGACAATTCGTTAGGCCTACAGCTGTCAAAACTGAAAGATAAAATGTTCTCTGTTGTCATGTTTTACGTTCTATAAAGAACAAGAACTCGATAAAAATGTCATATTTTCAGTGACTTATTGCTGTACATTATTTTATATCAAGTGACTGTAATGTCGATTCCAACTCTAAAGTTCGCGAATCCGCCTAATTTTTGTTATTACCAGTTGTAGAGTATTTAAAAGTAAAAGGTTGGGGCAGCCTTCAAGGGTACAACGTTCATGCCAATTTGCAACAAAATTCGTCCAGCGGTTCTGAAGTTGAAAATGGTGACAGGGAAACGGACGGACGGACATACACAGATATGCACTTAGTATATTAAAGTCGTGCTAAGAAAGTCTTTACTTTAGCCATAAAGAAAAAGAGCTGACACAGTGCACAATGCCTTAATTATGGACTGGCTATTGCATTCCTAATCTAGGACCAGATACTGGAGTAGGTTATGACGTGCCGCGAGACTAGGCGTGGCCACTAACGTGACCACCAACAGGTAGCAGGCACTTGTTCTGTTACGTCAGCACAACTACGTCTCATGTCAAAGTTTGTCTTTCCATCAGCAAATTGTTTACTGAAGTGTTTATATGCTGCTTGTAAATTATGAGATCGGTTGGAAACCAAGTAGGAGGTGAAGTTTTCATGGCGGTGAGTCCGAAGATGGCTGTCTTCTGGGTTGTAGCGCCATATGGTCTGGTAAATGTTTACCACCGTTTCAGGGGAATTTGCTGCCTTGATCATCAGGGCAATGATAGAAGCAGCAAGGACTTCTAAAACGTCGATTCACAACACCAAACCAAGCTACGAAATACCTCTAGAAACGATATGACAAAATGTTGACAAACCGAAGAGCAGTGTCGCGACGCCAACCGTCCAGACGCTGGAATTATACATTATACTTAGCGTACACTGGCCTAGGGATGCGAATTGCTACGATTTATAAATCGAATCACTCCAAGAAAAGCCTTAAGATGACACAAGGCACGATTATGGATAAATGACTTGTAACGTTTGGCGGCGAATCATACAGTTTCAGCTGTTAAACGGTAAGTGACAGTTACGTTCAACTTTATCGGTGAACGTACTGTATAATGACTGATAGCATATCGACGTGCTAAGCTGTCCTGTGACGTGCTGAATTTAAATTAAATTGAATGCATTAGGCCTTCCATCCTTGCCATAGTCAGTAAGGTCTATTACCAGCATTGCACAGCATGAAAAGTACTTTTCATCTCTCTGTTCGGTATTTCAAAATCCACTTTCTGTGTTAGCCTCACAGCGAAAGGGCAAAATGTTATACAAAAGGAAGCGAGATTAATGACATCCTGGCTGCATCCGCTTAGAAGCACAGCGGATGAGACAGCGAATTACGAAATTTAACGGCGGGCAATTCTGTGTGCAGTCTGTTGCAGTTTAAACGCGCTAGATATTCACACGCTGCAGTTATGTAAAGAAGGTAAAGTGGGACTCCTGTCGTCATAGTACGACGCGTTCTCGTCCTGCGGGTGGAGGAGATGGTTTCACGAAACACCAAACACCGGTATATCGATATACAGTGGAACCTCGACATACCTCGCCCGGTTATATCGCCGATTTGAATACCACGGCTTTGATCATATACCCCAATACGATTACATGTTTCACGCCGTTCACTTGTAACGCGGGTACTGAAGCTGTCCCCAGACATACGCCAAATACGAGGATTCGCTGTACTAACTTTTC